AGTATTTCTATTAATACCTGACCAATAATAAGAGGTCGTCTATGGCCCAATTCGGAGAGGCTATGACGATAAAGGCAGCCATTTTTTGAGTATTTTAAATTTAGCCGGATTATTATCCTTTCAGGGATACCATAATACAAAAGGGTAAAAGTTCCCGATTTAAAGGGTAATTTAAATTTGACTAAGAAATCGTTTAATAATTTAATTTGATAATAATAATAAGCCTTTTATTTCCGCAAATATGTTCATTTTACATGTAACACTTTCTGAATTTATAACATAGAAAACTTATTGGAATTTTATTTGATAGATAGAACTTAATTGGTTTGGAGTGATAGTTAGGTATTATTTAAATTAATTATGACTCTTGTTATTTTTTATAGATTCCCAAAGGACAAGACTTCACGAAGTCTTTGGATTGCAGTGACTGGACGGCAAAATTGTCAGCCCACTCAGCACACTCGCATGTGTTCTGTCCATTTTCAAGCTGGTTGCTTTCAGAAAAAGCAGCAGAAAATGTATTTGGCAAATTATTCAATACCAACATTAGCCGTTCATGTAAGTTTAGAAAGCCTCAATGCATACCTATGTAAATAATAACGCTTTTAATTCACTATTCTCACAGCGTCGCGTTGGGTCTTCATAAATGACCTCGAGTATACTTACTATTTTTGTTATCTTTATTCAAACATTTTTTTAGTTATTTAGATATAAAGTTTTTCCTGTATAAATTTTATTTTGCAGGATGTACCAGTTCATTGTGACAAAGCTTCATCTAGCGAAACTACCGAAGTTTTACCCATGGAATGCGATATTCAAGCAGTAAGTAATATCTTGTTAGATAAATAATTTTACTAGGTGGAGCTTGAGAAATTATTTTCTTGAGTTGCGGTCTTGCGAATCCCTCAACTTATTTCATCTTTTTTTATTTTGCAGTCAAATAATCTAGCAGACACGATGACACCAAGAAAGTTAAAGCTGACAATGAATTTACAAAGAAGAACGTTAATAGCTGAAAACCGCAATAAAAAAATAGCCGCATTGAGATCAAAGACTCGAAGACTTGTAAAAAAAATTCACAATTGACTGATATTATAGAAAATTTAAAAACAAAGCGATTCATCAACCAGGAAGCAGCGGATTTACTTTCTGTGCTTAATAATGGCTCGGACTTCATTAAGCCAAACAAAAGTAAATTTTCACCCGAAGTGCGAAAATTTGCTTTAAATCTTCATTTCATCAGTCCACGCGCCTATAATTATGTGCGCCAGCATTTTAAAACTTGCCTGCCCCATACACGTACATTAGTACGTTGGTATTCAACTGTAGATGGTGAACCAGGATTTCCATCTGAAGCTCTTCAAGCTATAGAAAAAATTGCAAAAAATAATATTTCGAAAAAACTGTTATGCAGTTTGTGCTTTGATGAAATGGCAATAAGAAAATGTGTAGAGTGGCTGGTAGGGCAAAAAAAAAAATGAGACATGTATACGTATAGGCTCCTTAGAGCATTAATTGACAATTTGTAAGTACTAATTTAATTAGTGTATGTATACAAATAGAGATAATTTTGATTTAATTTATCCTCTAAACAGAACATTCTGCCAATAATAATCTTTTGAATCTGCGTGTAATAAATATTTTTATTTTTAAATGATTTTCGTTTTATTCCTGTATGCCTATTGTATTAAATGATTAAATGTTGTCAAATCTTCTCATATTCATATTAGGATAAACTTAAAAATTGGGGAGTTTATTTTCAAACATGGCTACCCCAAATTTTGAATGTACTCTATGTCTGTCTCACAGGGGTGTACGCGGCTGGCAAGTCTATTTTATCCTTAGTCTGAGTTTGCAACAGGGTGCAGAAACTTCCATACAACGGTCATCGAAGTGAAACTTGCTTCCAAACAGCGACATCGGTGGATAAATTCAAATACTTTTTAACTACCCTAAAACGCTCTAGATGTCGCTGCTCCTGTTTCCTTCATATTTACATTTTTTTCTTAATTAAAATATATTTGAGAATATTGTTAATTACAATGTGAAAACTTTTTTTAAATGAAATTAATTTGTTTTAATTTAAAACTGAACGGTGACATTTATTGTTATAATTTACATAATAGAGTAGTAGAAATTACTATTTAACATATGGCAACTTTGTTTTTCCTCCAAAATGGCCGGTGTTGTTTTTGTTATGTTAAATGCATTCTTGTTTTCTTAGCCATCATTTAAGTGTTCTGTGGCCCTATTTAAGTATTGAAGAGTCGTCGAGTCAAATTCAAGTTCATTCCTTCGTACCTGCTGCTGTTCTGGTTCATCGGAGTTTTGTTCGTTCCTTCGTGAATCGCGAAGAAACTTTCTGTTATGTTCACAAGTGATCTGAGTTTTCTCAATGTGCAAATGCTTTTTTAGTGTTGTTGAAAACTTTGCGAAAAGACGCTTTTGGTGTATAATATTATGTGTGTTCATAAATAAAGTAAAATTATTAAATTCAAAAGTTTTTGTTTACTTATTTGCATTTCCATTTGCAATGTAGAATTTTTCCAAATCCATTGTTTTGAAAATAATACAATACGTACACCATAAAGATAAATACTTTCAAAATAATGGATTTGAAAAAATTCTGCATTGTACATCATAAAAACAATAATTCTTTGAAGGTTATGAGGGCCTATGTGTGCGTGAACTGTGTGTATGTATGTGTGCGTGTACTATGTATGTATGTGAGCGTTACGTACGTAGGTTAAGTACAGGGAATTTAACACCAGGCTGTCAATTTGTAGGTTCAAAAATTTGACAGAGAGGGTTCTCTATTTCCTATGTATTACTTTTCTCTATGGTTTGCAAGTCGATACAAACAAACGTTTTTAAAGTAATTTATCGAATAATTTTCCAACAAAAAAGACAATGTTATTTAAATTTGACATTTGGAGTGTTGCTCTAAAGTTATTGGTGTTCTATCGGTGTTCTGGTTGGTGATTATGATACAATTAATTGGACGTCATTGCCTGTGGTGAAGGTGATCACCCCCGTAGTGTCGCTCTCTGTGGTATCTTAACCACTTCGTTCGTTCCTAGCGTCCAAAATAACACAGAGAAAATCCGAGCAATATGATGTGGGATTCGGCAACTTTTCTGGGAGCGCTCACGCCCAAATTCTACGTGGCGCTGACCGGCACCTCGTCGCTGATATCGGGGTTGATTCTGATATTCGAGTGGTGGTACTTCCGCAAGTACGGCACGTCGTTCATCGAGCAGGTGTCGCTGGCGCACCTGGGCCCGTGGCTGGGCGGCGGCGAGGCGGACGGCGGCGCGGCGGGCGAGTGCAAGGTGTGGCGCAACCCGCTGGCGCTGCTGCGCGGCGCCGAGTACGGGCGCCTGTGGACGGCCGCGCGCCGCGCGCCGCTCACCTACTACGACATGAACCTGTCCGCGCAGGACCACCAGGCCTGGTTCTCGTGCGGGGCGGAGGTCAGTCACCGTCACCGCAGATAACTTCACTGTAGCGTGCCTTGCTTTATAGTTGTCTTTTGTATTCAATAAGGAGCTGATTTCTTTCACCATTTCTTCTCGGCATCAGCTGATATTTTGTCCAGAAGAGGTAGCAGGGCACGCTATGTTTGGGATGTGTTTAGATGCCTAATAAATAGTCTAAAAAAAAGCCTCAGGTTCTGTATCTGAATCCCATCAAAGCCGGACTCGTGTTGCATTCACTCCTACCTAACGTAAGCGTTTATTATATCGAGTTGCAGAAGGGCTACTACTATTAAATTAGTATTTTATAGTATTCATAGCCACGATAGCTGAACCGTGAAGGGGTCGGAGTGGCTGACTCGAGATCCGAGGAATGAGGGTTTGAATCCCACCGCCCCACTCGACTATTGTGGTGAGCTCACTCTTAACACAAGCTTATTTAGCTTTACACAAGGGGCTAATGGGACTATTAGTAATTTGGGCAATACAAATTGCTAACAATCTTTATTTATAAAAAAAAATAGTATTCATGGTTTGTATTGCATAAATGACTCGCATACTTTTTGAATAAATAACAGAGCATATTTTATGGTTTTTATTTGACCCAGGGATGGAAAGAGAAGTAGAGGTCGGCAACAAACAAGATGGGAAGACGACCTAAAACTCACAGTTGGACACTATTGGAGAAGGGTAGCACGTGACAGGTCCCAATGGAAATCGTTGGAGGAGGCCTATGCCAAGAGGCAAACTGAGCTTCGGGATATTTTATAACACAGATCTTATTATTTAACATATTTTGTAACTATTATGTAACCAAGTTCAGAATAAAAAGGCTTATTATTATTATTATTTGACACAGGGCCCAGCCGAGGAGGCGATGGCGCGCGCGTGGCGCGAGCGCGAGCCGGCGGCGCGGGTGGCGGCGGCGCGCGCGGCGCTGGCGCTGCGGCCCGACTGCGCCGCCGCGCTGCTGCTGCTGGCCGAGGAGGACGCGCCCACCGTGCAGGAGGTGCGGCACCCGCAGTTCGACGTCGGACAATTTTTTCATAATTATATTCTTCAATATTATGTGCTAATGAAAACGCAAACAACGGACTCTGACGCATGTTTTATTTTATTATATTCAAATTTTTGCAAAAATACTTACGAGCAAAAGTATGGAATCAGGTCGTTGTGTTTGGTTCCGAGCTATCTTAAGAACTGAATGATTATGTATGTATTTATAGTATCAATTTAAAGTGTAAAACATTACCTTTAAAATGGTATCATTTTTAATTATCTTCTATTGGTCATTTAGTTCTTACGATCGCTCGGAACAAGTATAATGATTCCATACTTTTGCTCGCGAGTGTAGTTAAAAAGCACTTTTACACGTCCCAGTATTAACTCTACCACTGCTTCAGGACAATAAATGGACTAGTGCAAGAAACTCAGTCACTATTGTAAGCCTCCTTTTCAAGGGATCGGAATATTTTTCAACCGACTTCAAAAAAGGAAGAGGTTCTCAATTCGACCCGTATGTTTTTTTTCTATGTTTGTTACGCGATAACTCCGCCAATTATGAACCGATTTGAACAAATCTTTTTTCGGCGTATAGGTAATATACCTACCTCGACCGAACCTTTAAATTTAATAATAAAAAAAACAACCCCCAAGGGTGGAAAATTGGGGATGAACTTTTTTATACGCAATATTTTTAAATTTTTAGTTTTTTTTTATGTTCACGCATTTGAAGTCGGTTTTATTTTTTTTAAAAGTTATTTTCATAAGTATTCTAATGGTACGTTCGCAGGCGGAGCGCGTGCTGAAGCGCGCGTGGCGCGCGGCGGAGACGGCGTGGCGCGCGCACGCGGCGCTGGGCGGCGGCGCGTGCGCGCGGCGGGACGCGGCGCTGCTGGCGCACATCAAGCGGCGCGCCGCCATGTGCGCGCGCCGCCTGGGCCGCCTGCGCGACGCCGCGCGCCTGTTCCGCGACCTCGCGCGCGACGCGCCGCCCGCGCTGCACGCGCTCGCGCTGCACGAGAACCTCATCGAGGTGGGTGTGTCGCCTCGCGACCCCGTCCCCGAAACCACCGATTGGCAGCAGACAGTCGAGATGCAGCACGGGCCATGAGCACAAGCTCGACGCCCGAACCGGCCAAGAAGGTCGAAGACCTGTGATCGATCGTCCCCGACCCCGCCCCGCCTGCCGCTCACGCCACGCCGCACTGTGGATCGAAATTGAAATTTATGGACATAGCAATTTTTTTCACAAATTTACTTTTCTTTAGATAAGACGACAAGAGAAAGGTTAATTACGTTCCTAAAGTATAGAATTTTAATTTTTTAGTTGAATCTTTAAAGATATTCCCAAAAAAAAGATACCTTTACTTACTTTTTTTAAAATTTTTGGAACCTCGGTAACTTCTGAACGGGCAACTTTGAACGTGCGCTGTTAGTGTAGGATTATAATCAACGAGCCATAAAACAAGGCTCGAGTAGTTTCAAAGCAAAATCCGTAAAGGCTTAGTCGAAATCGACCACTTTATGTTTCATTCCATACAACAAAAATGGAAAATATTTTTTTCCAGCCAAACTATTGGTTTTAGAGAAAAACTTGTAAAGCATTTATTTATCAGAATAACGTAACCTATCGATAGGTAATTTTTTCAAATAGAAATTGTGAAAAAAATCGCTATGTCCATAAATGTCAATTTCGATCCACAGCGCGCCGCCGTGTTGCAGGTGCTGCTGGAGCAGCGCGCCTACGCGGACGTGTCGGCGCTGGTGGCGCGCCACGCCGACGCCGGCGGCCCGCGCTCCGCCGCGCTGCTGTACACCGCCGCCTTATTACGTGCGCGCGCCGCCGCCGCCGCCCCGCCGCGCTCGCCGCAGGAGCTGCTCGCGCTCGAGGTCGGTGTCGGTCCGCTGTTCGATCTGAACCCCATCTATTCCATTCAGGGACTGGGTAGTCAATTCGAAAAAACGCTCAACGGTTGGAATGTGCAGGTGTTAAAATGTCCATACGG